AGCTGATTGTTGGCTGAGTCCTTGCCATTTTGGCTATTCTTCTATCCATTCGAATGGTAGTTTTTCGCTTTCTTCTACGTCTTTCAGGTTTGGGTTGCCATTTTAGAGCATTTGTGATCATTTTAGCTGAGCAGCCTACCATTTTCTGCACTTCTTTATATGTTTTCCCCTCTCCTATCAAATTTTTAATCAAGGTACACTGTTCTGAACAATGTCTGGAACGAGACATTTTCCTCAGTATTTCAGAGAGAAATGCACTGTAACCAGCATGTACAACATTTGCTGCCTTCCTTCCTTAAATAAGGGCAATATTTGCCACCTGTTTTTCAAAGAATGAATGACCTCACTAATAGAACTCCACACTGCTATTATTTTGAACATGCCTCTTTCAATTAGTGATTCAATTACACAGAATCAGCAGCATGCATGTCATGACTGTTGGGTCTGTTGGATTTCTATTACTCTACTACACCTGCTAGTAAATTATTTTGCATGTAGAAATATAATTTCTACCAAAAACAGTGATTGATTAGGTTAATGATGCCTTACTGCTATTATTTTGAACACAACTGTATATAGATAACTGGTGCACTATGAATCCAGCATAAATATTAAGTGATTATACCATAACACTCAGTGATTCCCTGTAAAGGGATATAAGCACTATATAAGTGATTACTACAAATATTAGTGAAAAAAATATCTACACAATTCAGTGTTTTTGACACACAAAACTGTATTGATATTTAATGTCCACAAAATTCAGTGTTTAACACACAAAAAGCCAAAAAACTAAAAAAGCATACTCCTCTTGCCAGTGCGGGTGATAGGTGAGAATCCTATGTGGCTAGCATGCCCACTCACCTTCCCCCTGCGACCCACAGGGGCCAAAATGTCTTGCAGATCACCCCAGGATCCTACACGCTCTCTCCAGGCTAGAGGTTACTCCACAGACTCCAATGCTCACTCCTCCACCTTCCACTTATCCTTAACGGACAGGTACCAGTGTATATACATTTATATACTCATGAGGTTATAGAGGTCATGGAATAAGAACACAAAAGATCCTCCATAGTGTAAAACTGTATGACACATTTAATATAAGAAAAACCGCCAAGTGCATACTCACATTTCAGCAGAAAATACAGTGCGTTTAGTATCACCTCACATGGGTGTTCTGAGAGTTCTCTAATGTGCCAAGATGGCGCCGGACCAGAAGTGCGTCACCTCGTCGCTATGTCACATCTACGCGTTACGCCATGCCTCTCGTAGCTTCGTCAGGATCCTGTAAACAGTCCTCAAGCTTGGTTTTGTGATTTTATTAAGGGTTTAAACTTGGATAGTGTTTAGGGGTGTATGGGGTGCCCAGGGAACTATACAACTTGAGAACAACTCCTTAGCAACTATGTATTAAAATGCAGATTAGCAACAGTCTCTCTTTAAGGAGCACTAAACCCCTTTGGTGTACCTTCTTAGACCCTGGATGATTCCTCCTCTTCACCCAGTTGCACTGAGAGTATTCCCTGGGCAAGGGGCCCAGAAGCTGTCAACTGAACAGTTCCAGATGAGAAGCTAGTTGGTTCTTGCATTTGACCGCTCTCTCCCCTTATCTGGCCTAGTAGGTGTAAGAGTACTCAAACTGTCTTCTGTTAGCTTAGTGGGTTGGTGGCTGCCTTCAGACCTTACGCTGGGCTGGCTCCTCCCCTACTACACAGGTTGTCCTCCCCTGGAGCCATTTAGGCAGTGGCTATCCTCTTTTCTAGTGACCTACCTGTAGGTAGGCTCCTTTCCCTGGGGCCTCCTCCCAGGCTCCTGACTCCAGCCTCAATCCATATTGCACCTGATACTGCACACCAGGATGTCTGATATTTGAAGGTTGCCTTGCCCAGCCTCCTGCCAGGAGACTGACCAAGGTCCCTCAAAACATGTAGATCTGGGCCTCTTCCCTTCCTTTCCCCTGATTCCAGAAAGCCCTCAGGTTTCTGTAAAGGTGGGAGGGCTCCAGAAGCCTTGACCTGTTAGAGACTCCCAGCCTGTTCTGAGGTGACCTCACTACCTCACTCCCAGGCTGACTCATCCCCAGGCTGCTACTCAGCCTGTATCTAGAAAATAAAAAACAAACATTTTATCTAGCTAACCTGGAAGGCATTACATTTAGATATATTTAACCTCTGAGTAACCGAGGTTTATCTTGATTTGCATTCCTCCTAAGGACCAGGGGAAGCTGTGAATAGCAATTTTATGAGGATTGTTTTCACTCTTTTATATATGCAAGCTTTGAAACATTTCACATTTTTCACCCAATTGTTGCATAAAAATCACATGCCATTTCAGAATTCCCCCTCTCTTCTCACACGTGTAGAATATCTATCTCAATTTTGCTAGAAGTAACCTTCCCTGTAAAGCTATTCTAAGTTCTGTACTATGTCTTCAAGTGTATCTTTCTTGGAGTTTGTTTGCACCATGGTGTTAGAAAATACACTGCGTTTACCTCAGATTGCAGAGCAATTTATATCAGAGGCTTATTATACTTGGTGCGGTTGGGCACCTTATACTTGTGAGTGCACATTTTGTATTTTATTTGGATATTAAAATGTTTAAAGTTTACGCACTATGTGGAGTCTTTTGTTTATGAGGTGATGTGATGGTGGGAGTTGTATTCTGTACAAGGTGTCAACCACAGTTGAAATCCATCAAGTTGATCTGCAGTGTCCATATTGGGACCAAAAGCGCAGTTAGACCAAACATAATATTATGTGAGGTCACACTGCTGGAGGTGAGCAGACATCTGGTGGTGGAATCTTGCACTTTTATGTTTTGAAGCACTTGGTGATTACAGAAGGATGGAAGTGCTTTAATGAAGATTATTGGACTTTATACTTAAAATGTTAATTCAATAAGATCTGAGTGCTTACCTATTTTTAATCCACTCTGGTCCTGTCACATGATTCTGCAGCTCTGTGTAATGGAAAGCTCAACAATGGTTGTGAATTCCAGGAGCAATGATGTCACCCATTGACTCCTATGACCCAGCTATTGTGAGCACTCCTTTTCCGCTGCAGCAGCAGCTCATTGACACATGGAAGCCAGAGCTGCATGATCATATGACCAGATAAGACCAGATTAAAAATAGGTAAGTACACAGATCTTTTTTCATACAGTTTAGGCAGGATAGGTTATATATACAGTTGCAAGAAAAAGTATGTGAACCCCTTGGGATTACGTGGAGTTTTGCATGAATTGGGCATAAAATGTGCTGTGAACGTCATCTAAGTCACAACAATAGAAGAACACAGTCTGCTGAAAATAATACTACACAAACATTAGATGTTGCCGTGGTTTAATTGCACACAACATGTAAACATGCCCAGTGCAGGGAGGAAAAAGTATGTGAACCTTTGGACTTAATAACTGGTTGACCCTCCTTTGGCAGCAATAACCTCAACCAAACGTTTCCTGTAGTTGCAGATCAGACCTGCACAACGATCTGGAGTAATTTTGGACCACTCCTCTTCACAAAACTGTTTCAGTGTATCAATATTCTTGGGATGTCTGGTGTGAATTGCTTTCTTAAGGTCATGCCACAGCATTTCAATCAGGTTGAGGTCAGGACTCTGACTGGGCCACTCCAGAAGGCGTATTCTGTGCTGTTGCAGCCATTGTTTTGATGAATTACATGTATGCTTTGGGTCATTGTCCTGTTGCATCACCCATCCTCTGCGGAGCTTCATTTGGCGGACAGATGGTCGTACGTTTTCCTGCAAAATGTCTTGATAAACTCTGGAATTCATTTTCCCATCAATGACAACAATCCGTCCAGGCCCTGAGGCAGCAAAGCAGCCCCAAACCATGATGCTCCCTCCGCCATGTTTTACAGTGGGGATGAGGTTTTGATGTTGGTGTGCTGTGCCTTTTTTTTCTCCACATATAGTGTTGTGTGTTCTTCCCAAACAACTCAATCTTGGTTTCATCTGTAGACAGTATATTTTGCCAGTAGTGCTGTGGAACATCCAGGTGCTCTTTTGCAAACTTCAAACGTGCTGCAATATTCTTTTTGGACAGCAATGGCTTCCTTCGTGGTGTCCTCCCATGTACTCCATTCTTGTTTAATGTTTTCCTTATTGTAGATGTGTCGACAAAAATGTTAGCATGTGCCAGAGATTTCTGTAGGTCTTTAGCTGACACTCTGGGATTCTTCTTTACCTCATGCAGCATTCTGTGCTGTGCTCTTGCAGTCATTTTTACAGGACGACCACGCCTAGGGAGAGTAGCAACAGTGCTAAACTTTCTCCATTTGTAGACAGTCTGTCTTACCATGGACACATGAACATCAAGGCTTTTGGAGATATTTTTGTAACCCTTTCCAGCTTCATGCAAGTCAACAATTCTTCATCGTAGGTCTTCTGAGAGCTCTTTTCTGCGAGGCATGGTTCACATCAGACAGTGCTTCTTGAAACCAGTAAACCCAAAACAGGTGTGTTTTTTAAGGGCAGGACAGCTGTCAGCAACACATCCAATATCATCACACTGATTGGAGTCAAGGTTGGCTCACTCCTGGCTCCAATTAGCTCTGGGAGAAGTCATTAAGCTAGGGCCTCACATACTTTTTCCTCCCTGCACTGTGAATGTTTACATGTTATGTGCAATTAAACCATGGCAACATCTAATGTTTGTGTAGTATTATGTTCAGCAGACTGTGTTCTTCTATTGTTGTGACTTAGATGACGTTCAGAGCACATTTTATGCCCAATTCATGCAAAACTCCACGTAATCCAAAGGGGTTCACATACTTTTTCTTGCAACTGTAGCAATATAGTAAGAATAGTTATAGTTGGCATTGCCTTCCTCTTCAAATGCAGTCCCCTTAAATTTTTATACAGCAAGAATGAGATTTGAAGGTATTCTCTTCTCTATAAATTAAGGAGAAGAACAGTATTTGCAAAATAATAAGAACGTAAATTATTATCCATTCAGTAGAAACAATTTTATAAACAACTGACCTTTTGGTACCAGGATAGAAGAGGTGTGTCTGCTAAAATCACTTCCATTTGCAGAGGAAAGAAGTAGACATTCTTAATAGATGAAAATACTGAAAGGTGTTTCTTTTGAACTTCCTCTTTATTTGTTTCATTCATTCCTTTCAAGAAAAAGACCACTGATCTGTTAGGATAGTGGCGAGCTGCTGATTCAATGGCACATAGCACCAGTGATCTTGGTGGCAGTTTATCTGTAGTTTCCAAAAATATGATAGAATCACCACTTTTTAAAATGTCAGGACTTAAACTTCTGGAGGGAATATTTGATATTGGGATTGCTTCTGTAGATTTTGTTTCCAATGATCTTTTGTCCTTTTTGTGGTTTTCAGCATCCTTTGCAGTCAAAACTTCAGTAGTTTTTGTTACTGCAGACGTAGTAGGTAGAGATTCATAATTGTTCTGGGTTGGTAGCAATTTTGACTTTAATGTCTTGATTATATCATTTTCAGAGAAAAACATTACATAGTTCAAGGATGAATCGTTAATCTTGACTTTGTATAAGAAAACAAACGACTAATAAAAGAAGAAGGAAGATCACTATCCTCTGGGTTTTTATCATGGTTGTAAAATATGCTTTTCAGTCTGCAAAGGAAAACAAATTTATTATTCAGGAAAAACATGGCATGCTCATAAATGTGGAAGATGATTACAAATTGCATATATGTAACTTTTCTAGAATATGTGATTTCCAAAGAGTCTTTCTATAGCTAACACACTTTTTTTTTTATATATATATATTTATATATAAACTGGAAAAGGATCAGAAACTCGTTCGGGTTTTACTGCAGTTCAGGGCTCCATTAAAAAGATTTCTCCATGCTCACTGTCCCTGGCACAACCTTTTAACCAGACAAGAAAGTGAAGTAATTTCCCAAATTGCATGACAGGTAGAGGTAAAAATGCTTTTTTTATTAGCTAGGTAGGGTGTAGGTACTTCCTAGTTGCTCCACATGGCTAAACTTCCAGCTAGTGGTCTACAATAACGTGAGTCACCCAGAGGTTGGGTTTTCCAATCCAGATGCTCAAAGTAGACCTCCATGTCTGCACTAGGGATGAGCCAACTCATCCTTAACACAATCTGACCACTGTTTGGTGGGAGCTGTGAATCATATATAGAAGCTCTAGCGACAGCTTCCCGCTGTCAATGGTTCCTAAAGAAGTCTTGGGTGCTTGGGAAGAGGATCTTCCCAATCTACATAGGCACCCCCCTGGCAAGGCCCGCCCAATGTTGTGAGTTGGTATGGTTCAGGAGGATGGCCACATTCTTGTACCCCTTTTTCTGGCCAGGCAGATTGCATGCTTTGACTTAGGGTCTGGTATGGATTTTTAGGGGGACCTCATGCTTTTTTTTTTTGCTTGACGTCTCCTTTAAAAACTGTAGCAGACCTGACACACATTTTTTTTTGTTTTTTTTTGGGTACAAGGTACCCCCTTAAAGCCCATACCACACTCAAAGTATCTGGTATGTAGTTAGGGAGCAGGGAGGGGCTGTACAAAACTTTTTTTTTTGCTGTAGGATGTGCTACAGCGAAAATTACAAAAAAAAAAGTGATACAGTTTAAATTGCTGGCAAATGTCATGCATTGCCAGTTTCATAAACAGCACACAAATATATTCAAAGGCCCCAATACACATAGCCATCAAAGTCATTTGACAGCACTTTTAGAACTTTTATCCTTTGTAAAAGTTAGTGCTGCTACAGCACTTCCCATACATCACAGCGTGCATCATTAAAAGAAGAAGTACAGACAAAGCTCTTTTGGCTGTACTTCTCCTATGGATCACAGGAGTGCACCTCATTCTGCACTCCTGTGACCTGTTTTCAGATGACAGCGGGCTTCAGCCCGCTGTCGGCTGATGTCACTCAGTCAGTCCAGGCTGCGGAAAGATCCTGACTTTAAAGTTGGGATCCACCTCAGTGTCTGGAGCAGCACCTGGCTCAGCCTTTCAGCAAGCCACTGAGAGCCTGAGCCAGCCGCTTCCTCCCCCTCCACAGCCCAGTGCTTCAGTGAACGCGGGGGGCGGCAGAGCAGACAGCAGTGACTGACAGTCACCACTCTCTGCTCAAAGTGGTTGTGAGAACTCTGCGAATAGTAATCCTGTGATTGCTGAGTTCTCACACTTAGAGCCGACAGGGGAACAGATGCAGCATAGGACCAATGCTGCATCCACCTAGGTAAGTATAATAGGGGGAAAAAAAAAGCCCATATTCTTTTTTAAGGAATTTAATAGGTTTGGCTGTATCATTAATTTTGAAATCAACTTTGAAAAAAAACAAGGCTCTAAATACAAATTTGTCTTCTCAGAATCTCTCATTACTTACATCTAATTACTCATTTTGTTTGCAAAGAATCTACCATGTAGTATTTGGGCATACATATTCTCAACACTTTGACAAATTTAGCCTTGGAAAATTATACTCCCATACTTCGTCAAATACAAACATGCCTGAAATATTATGACAAACCATGCTTTTCATAAATAAGGTATACCAATACTGTCAAAATGAATATATTTTGTATATTTTCCATACAATCCCCATATCACCCCCATGAGATTTTCTCCCCCAAATTACCAGACTCGTACAATTTTGTGTTTGGGGCCACAAAAAATTGCGCATGAATAGACATAATCTTGTTTTACCAAAATGTAAAGGGCAGGGCAGCCTTACCAGATATCCCTTTCTACAACTTCCGATATAACAATAGCAGATTGGTTCTATATTAAAAGTTATAAAGTTTAGGTAGAAACAATTGTGTACTGATGTGATACTTTTTTTATTTGCACTAACATATAATTCTGAGGACAAGCTTTTGGGGTATGTCCCCTTCTTTAAGGTCCAGGCAGTACTACTACAAAATTTTAGCAGAATGTTTGGAGAGATGTTGAAAGAGGGAGGGGAAAAAAAAAACTGAAAAAAATACACACAAAAAGATGTACACAGCAATGGTTAAAAGACTAGGATTATACTAGAAATAAGACACAGCAAAAGCAAAGACTGGGGGGGGGGGGCAACACTCACAGAGGGGGTTATAAAACTGTTGGATAATGACTGAGGAATCCCATATCAAAATTAAGGCCGTTATCTCTTGTGTCAAATAGAATTATCATTCTTTGTTCAAAAGTTTTCCATTCCCCAAAAGATTTGAAATTTCCTTAAGAATTAAAATATTGAGGTCTTCCATAGTGTGGTCTGGTTGTGCGAAATGGTGTTCCACAGGTGTGCAAAAGTCATCTTCTTATGTTCCTTGTTGGTATGTCTGTACAAATTCATCCTTGTTTGCAACTTCTGTCCTGTTTCGCCAACCTAAGATCCTTTGCTATATTTTCTGCACTGGATAAGGTACACAACATTACTAGAGGTGCAGCTGTATGATCCGGAAATACTGAAGATCCCTTTTGAGTGTCTGACACTTTTTGATTTGGATTGATTTGGTTGCACAGTTTGCAGCGTTTTTTATTGCAGGGTTTGGTTCCATTATTTGTGACATCTTGACCAGAAGGAAGTTTCCTACTGATTAGTTTATTTCTGAGGTTAGGGGGTTGTCTGAAAGCCAGTATTGGGGGTTGTTGGAATATTTCTTTCAGAGTTCCATCCTCTGTTATAATGGGTTGTAAATCTTTGATTATTTTTCTTATTCCTTCTAGTGCTGGGTTGTATGTGGTTACTAGAGGTACGCGGTTGTTTGTTTTTTCTTCTTGTACTGAAGTAGATTTTCTCTTCGGTTCTCAAGGCTGTGTTTATGCTGGTGTTCATAGTTTTGTCCTTGTAACCTTTCTTATGGAAGGAGTCTGCTAGTGTCCCGAGATGTTTATCTCTGTCTCTTGGGTCAGAACATATTCGGTGGTATCTAATGGCCTGACTGTTTATGATGGCATGTTTCATGTGTTGGGGGTGGAAGCTGGAACTGTGGAGGTAGTTGCATCTGTCAGTGGGTTTCCTGTATATTGAAGTGTGAAGCTTATCATCCCTGATGTATACTGTGGTGTCTAGGAAGTTGACGTGTGTGTTTGAGAATTCCATTTTTAGTTTGATTGATGGATGAAAAGTGTTGATCAATGAGTAAAATTGTTTTAGGTTTTCTTCACCTTCTGTCCATATGATGAAAATATCATCAATATAGCGATAGTATCTGTATGGTTTTTGTTCCACACTGTTCAGGAATTTTTCCTCTAGGTCAGCCATAAATAAATTGGCATATTGGGGTGCCATTTTACTTCCCATCGCAGTGCCCATACATTGAAGATAGATGTCTTTATTGAAGGTAAAGTAGTTGTGTGTAAGTATGAATTCAATGAGCTGTGTAACATCCTCAGCAGTGTATTTGTGGTTTGGTGAGGGTGATAAGGATCTGTGACATGCAGCTTTAGGTCAAATTAGAAAATGATCTCATTGTCCCAACTCTGATTTCTCTTATTGGCATACCAGCTAAATTTCATCCGCACAGAATCACCAGCTTTTGATACAATCTACCCTACATACATAGGATTTGTATATTGTGAAGGTCCTTTTAGTTCCTCTCCCAATCCTTTAATTTCCCCTATAGGAACCCTGAGTTCCCTCCTGCTATGCATCACCCACATTTCCTACAATGGCATGGATTAGATAACATCACAATTGCCTGAATCGTACAGGCCTGAAAACTTCCTCCTCTGTGACAGCTCCTACAGCTTTGTCAGAACAACCATACAGCCTGATTAGTATATTCCCTATTTTTGCATATTAAATCTTTAGTTCCACTGACCTCACTCAGCAGACCACTCATGCAGTTTGAATCTGCATACGCAAACTAAGGAACTGGGCCATTTAGTCTCCACAGTCTACAACCTCCAACTAAGTGCAACTAAGGCTGGCCATACATTGTACAATTATTTTTAGATTTTTGCTTTAGATTTACCAAAAACCATATAATTGAGGTCAAACCTAAACAACACTTTCAATTGTATCCAATTAGGCAGGCTCTTGCACTACATAGTTGAAGGTAAATCTAAAGGAAATTGGACAGAAAATTGTAAGAAAATTGTATAGTGTATGGCCAGCCTTACCCTTAGGTCCCAAGCATAGTTGCTAAGTGGGAACAGAAACTAGGAACATCAACCTTGACTGGGATAAAGCTTTTGTTCTTACCCATAAGCTTTCAATCTCCTCATAAGCTCAGGAGTAAAACTATAGGATTTTGTCAAGATGGTATCCATCTCCTCATGTTCTTCATTAAATCAATCTTTCTCTCTCCAATACCTGCTGGTGATTCTGTTCTAATGAGGGTGCAATGACACACATGGGGAATATGCCCTCACACCACCTTTATGGAAACAGATTCTTGAACTTAACTAAAATCGTACAACTGATATTATCCTCAATACCCCCCAAATCACTGTACTAAATATAATACCAGGTTTCTATATAGAAGTTAAATGGGGATTGTTACATCATTTTCTAATGGCAGCACATACTATTA